GCTCTAACCCAAAAAAATTTTTCGAGGGACAAGAATAGCTCAGTAATCTCCTCAAAACATCACCTTAAATTTGGTCCCAACACTTAAAATATTAGTCATCCATTTTCATTTCTCTAAAATTAATTCACCAATAGATTTTCTATTTCAATACCACCCACTTCACAAAAATTTCTAACTTCAACTCCCTCCCATGTAACTTCATTCGACCCAACTCACTTCCATTGCTTTTTTACTCTCACGAATCACATAAAAATCAATTTCAGCAACATCTCATTACAATAAACATTCAATTTACGTCATAACTAGTACACAAACACCTTAATACTTAATTTCAATTCAGATACAGTCGATTTCATAGAAAATATAAAAGACATCCATAGTTTTGAAGCATCTAATGGTGAACGGGCAAACTCACGGTGGACAGCAAACTCATAGTGGTGATGCTAACGGTAGTCGGCACGGGTGGATAGCAACAGTGAAACCCAGGCAGCCGGCACGAGTGGAGTGCAGTAGCGATATGTTAGTGACCCAAGGTGACAGAACGGCAAAGGAGCAGCAAAGACTGACGACGAGACTCACGGCAACAGAACAACTTCAGAACGGCGGCAGACGATGAAGGAGGCGCAATGGAACGGCTGAAGAACGAAAGAGGACGAGGGTTTAGAAGAAAATCACGAATGAGGAAGGGGAAGGGTGTGAGTTTCTAATCTTATATTTTCAGCGACGCACTGAAAATAATGCATCGCTAAAAGTATTCTTAGAAACATCTTTGTCAGTGGGATCACTAAAAATATTTTGAACGACACTGTAATGAGATGTTGAAAATATCTTCAGCAGAGTGTATGGTACAGTGTCATTAAAAATAATTTTAGCAACCACAGTTACTAATGACGTCTCTAAAATTAGGATCAGAAATAAGTGCCTTAATTAGTTAAACCGTTCAAATGGATTGTTCAATAAATCACTTTCTAAATTTAATTTGATTTGGAAAACTCTATAGATTGTTGCTTTTAGAATAATCTCTCTTTAAAATCTGCTACCTCCTCCAACCAATTTTAAAAAGTTTCAAAGTTTCCCTATTTCTTTATTGTTAAGTATCTGATCCTAACGTTTTTTTCCTTTCAACAATCTGATCCCAACTTTAAATATTGCGAGTCATCTATCATTATTTGCATGAAGAATTGAATTCAAATATGATATCTCTGCTTGATGAAAATTTGGTAGGTCTATGATTATGATTTATGACCAGTTACCTTTTTCCAAATAAATAGTAATAGGGGCTGATTTACCACATTTGTCAAAATCTAAATGATTGCAAATGTACATACATTATCTAATCTGAGCAGAACTCGTTGGTTAAGACACCTATCTCCAATCAAAAGTTCATGAGTTCGAATATCCACCCTCACATGTTGTACTAAAAAATAAATTCTAAAAATTGCTCGTGAACCTACACTAGGTGACTCAACATAAAAAGGGTCAAGACCCTCAAGTCCAATCACATATCATACACATATTTAAAGTTCTAAAGGTTGATATGAAATATCGATGTCTCAATTTTATAGAAAAAATATTGATAGCATGTCGATGTTGATGGATACTTCTAAAAAATTATAAAAGAATTTTCATAAAAATATTTAAATTAACCAATAAATATTTCACCTTTTTAAAATAAGTTGAAAACTATTAATATTAATATTGTCTATCTTAATGATATTTTGTTGATATATTTTATATTTCGTTCATTTTTTTAATTATATAAAAATGTCATTTCACTCTTATATCATTCATAAACATATGAAAATGTTGATGAATATACCAAGGTTGAAATGTACTTTTTTAGAAAATGCAAAAACTTAATTAGGAGTATTAGTTCATTAGATTTAAATTTAAGAGTCAATTTTATGAAATTAAACTGTATAGTTTAATTTTAAATGGACTATGGTAAACTTTTTACCATAAAAAGTTATTACCATGTTGAATGTGGGTGGAAGACAGGTGAAAACAAGAGTAAAAGTTAAGGTTACAAAAAGTGGTAAAATTAGGTCCGTAGGGTGAAAATGAAAAGTGTCCTTAATTATTCTCACACCCAAATCAGCCCGTTGGGATTTATCCAATCATCAATTACATTTTGAATATGTAAATTCCCTTATTAAAAAAAATTAAAATTTGATTTCTCTTTTTAAACACTTTTAAATTTTCAATAATAATAATTAAAAAGAAATGCTTAAACTTGTGCCTCGTGAATCTCTTGTCCCTTTAATTGGATCAAGTACCAACGTGCACAAATGTATAAGAGAGCTATTTAATTTCATTTCTAAAGTTTCTACTATTTTTTTTAAATTATGTCCTTAATGAATTTTTTTTCTTTTTATAAAAAAACATGATTTCATAAATGTATTGCGGTAAGAATTTGGATATTTAATCTATTAGAGAAGTTATTAATGTCTTACTGAATTGAGCTATGCTGGTTTATTCTTCTAATGTTTTGAAAAAGGTTCTATTTGTCTTCAGTTTTGGAATTTTCATTTAATTCATTGAAATTGTATATTCTATACTTGTGCATTTTTTTAGTGTAAGTATTGTTCCCACCTTACTTGACCAGAGAATCTAAAATAGGCCTACTCGAATTATTTAATCGAATTGAGTCGGACAATTGAATTTTTAATCTCTATTGTTGTACGTGGACACGTGATATGAATATTCAAACATCTAACATTTTGTTCAATTACATGTATATGCTTAATCATTATGTTGCGAAGTTGACTAATTTTGACTCATTCTAAATAGCTATTCACCATCCAAATTTATAGTGTTTTTTTCAACATTTAAACTAGTTTAACTATGTTAATACTTAAATTTAGGGAGCAAAGTCTTGCAAGAAAATTTTGTCATCCTTAATTAGAGTGAGATGTATCTTGGACTTACACATTAATGAGGCTATCCAAATGTCAAATTATAGGTAACATATCCCGACTAAAAAGATTAGTTTGGAATTGTCAAATATTTCAAAATGTGCTTTTTTCATTTTTGTCGAAAAATTGAAATGTGGCTTAAACTAATATCAAAGTAAGCAAAGGACACACACAAAAATGTTCGAAGCAAATATAAAGGCCGAAAAGACAAGAATGGAAGATTGTACTAGTAAGAGAAAAAGGACAACGACGTCTTTAATGATGTATCTGTGTCTATTTTTTCTTTCAACTATTCCATTTTATTTCTACAGTGAAGAGAAGAAACCTAGTGAGTGCCAGAGGTAAAAAATTAAAATTATAAAATCTTAAAAAAAGAATGAAGGAAAATACCGATGGAACCCAAAGTGCGTTTGTTTTTACGTAGTAAAAAAAAAACCACATTGGTTAATTTGATTTTCAATCTAATAAACTGAAATATAAAATCAAACCAAATTGATTAATATTAAAATATATATACACACACACAACAGTCAACAATGCAAAAATCTTGAAAGTTTATCAATTTAGTTATCAATCAAATAAAATGTAGGTATTACAAGTAAAATGATAATTTCACCTGGTGATTAGAGGAATCTTCGGATTGTAAAATTTTTTAATCCCTATGAAATATCAAATTAAAAATTTTAATAAATGCATAGCTATATGCAAAGGAAAAAAATTTCTTGTTGAGAGAGCTTGGACTTTCAACTTATTTTAAAAATTAAAAAACAAAAACAAAAGGTTGTAAGGATTCTATCACATTTCTGGAGGAATTTGAGCTTATTTTTAGTCATTGAGATTTGAAAATAGTTAAAAATAGCAAATCACCTCATCCATCACTAACAAAATAATGATGTATTTTTAATATTCATTAGGATGGCTGATTTGCCAAAACGAGCATAGCTCAGTTTCAACCCAAATTTATTTTAATTATGCCTGAACCAACTCAATTTATAGAATTTTCCTTTATTTTAACTAAACTTAAACCAAACAAGTTTACAGTCCAACCCAACCCACATTGGGTTGGTCGGATTTTTGGGGTCATTGTGCTTTTTGAACACCTAGTCACCTCCATTGTCATCTCCCTCCTACCTTGTAAGTTTTTGTTGCTACTGTCATTTTTTGCTATTGGCACTTCTCTTTCATTTTAGATTTACATCACTACCTTCGTTCAATGGATCTGCAACGAAGGGTCCCTTCATTTATTTTAGATCCGAAATGAAGGGGAAGCTTCCTCTTTGTTTTCCATCTGAAATGAAATGGAGGGGAGCTCCCATCTAGAAGTTGAGTGGTGATGGATGCAATTGCAAGTGACAACAAAGATGATGCAACAAAGGTGACGATTGACGAGGGAGAAAAAGGAGAACAACAACCACAAAAGTCGCTAGAGGAGAAGGAAGAAGGAAGAAGGAAGAAGAGAGAAAGAAAAGAAGAAAGAAAGATTCAACTAGTAAGTATTAGCTAGATCAAGCTTTTGAGTGAGTCAAATAATGGTTCATTTAAGACCATCTAAACTATTTTTTTGAACCCACATGAATTAACCTTCAAAAAAGAAAAAAAACGGCAAAAACATCTTAATTAAAAACGTCTCTTATAAAATTTGATGCAGTAGACATTAAACTTTAAAGAGTAAAATTTGCCCTATTTTACATGATTGGTCTCGGTAGTGTAGAAATCAAAACAGCCGCAGCCGCTGTAAAAGTTTAAAAGCCAAAAAAACAGACGTCATCCTTCCATACTCTCCGCCCCAATATCCGCACCCAAGTCCCAACCTTCAAAAAAACAAAACAATCTCAAAAAAGGTAAAAAAGTAAAACATAGTACACAACAGACAAAACCAATCCCACTTCCACCACTTCAAAAAGAAGGAAAAAAAAAAAATCTTCTTTTTAGGCAATCACCAAGCAAAGCATTCAACTCAATCCAATTATGTTCCTTTTTTTCCTTTGCTTTAATTATTATTTTTCCTTTTTACCCCCAAACAGAAACGCTCTAAAATTTATTACCCTGCCATCCATGATCCAAATTCCAACGGCTTCCTTCTTCACTTTACTGTTACCTTACCATTTACCGTAATATTCCATATCTTTTGGGCTTTCATTAAAAACTACGAAACCCCAGGGACCACTTCTGCAAATAAAAAAGAGACGTTATGCGAATCCCGCCAACATTCCCTTCACCTTCTCAATTAATCCAATTAATCTGATTCTCCACTCGAGCGTTAAAAATTCCATTCCATTCGATTTATAACTGCGGAGGCCGGCCCTGGATTTCTCTGTTGTGAGAAATTTCGGAATTCTCCGGCGACGGCCACCTCCGACGATGGGCTGCGCCACCTCCAAGCTCCACAATCTCCCGGCGGTGGCTCTGTGCCGCGACCGCTGCAAATTTCTTGACCAAGCTCTGGTTTTCAGCCATGCCCTCGCCGATTCCCACTCCGCCTACGCAGAATCCCTCACTATTATGGCCGCAGCTCTCCACCGTCTGTTTGACCAGGACGCCGCCGGCGATCCGAAGGATTCTCCGCCGGCTGTCGCCCCTTCGCCTGACAGTTCTCCCTCTGATTCCGATTCCGATGAAGAAGAAGAAGATGGGTCTTTTACTCCTGAGAAAACACGGTCTCCCCCTTCCCCAGTTGGAAATTTCATGTTCTCGAATTACGACTCGGCCAGGGGACAGCAGCCGCCGCCGCCGCCGCCGACCGGCTCGTCTTGGGATTTCTTGAATTTCTTCGAAACCTACGAAAGATACGAGCAGCCCGTTTTCAATTGGGACCGGGAAGGAGGAGCAGCAGATCAAAAACCCAGAACAATCGCGAAGAAGAAGAAGAAGAAGAAAGTAGCCGCGGTTGTGGATTCTAAGAACACGAAGGAATCAAATCAACTGGAAAAGAAGAGCGATTCGAAAATGGGTGTCTCCGATGCGATGAGAGAACTCAAGGGCTCCTTCGAAAAGGCGTCTGAATCGGGAAATTCCATTTCCAAGTTGATTTCTTATGGGCAAAGACCAGATTTCACTAAAGGTATCATTTTTCTTCTTCTTCTTCTTCTTCTTCTACTCTGTAAATTGCTCTGTTTTCATCCTCCGATTGATTTCTTGTTTTCCTTACAGATACAAGGATTGGCTCGCGGGGTTTATCTTCTACTCTGAAGAAGCTATGCGTGTGGGAGCAGAAACTGTACCTTGAAGTGAAGGTTATTCATATATACATCTTTTTCAATTTAAAAAACTGGGTTTTTCTGATTCTGGGGTTTGGGATTGGTTTAGGCGGAGGAGAAATTGCGTATGATTTTGGAGAAGAAGTGGCGGCAGGTGAAGCATTTGGTGGAGAAGAAGGCCGATGCTCGGAAAGTTGAATCTGTTCGAACATTGATCAGAAATTTATCCATCAAATTGAAAGTTTCGATTCAGGTTGTGGATAGGATTTCGATTTCCATAAGCAAGTTGAGAGATGAAGAGTTTTTGGCAGAGATTACCCAATTGATTCATGGGTATGAATCAATTCCTTTGACCCAATTTCAAACTTACATTTTTCTTTTTGTTGGATTAATCAAACATTTTCTTGCACAGATTTCTCAGCATGTGGAAATCCATGCTAGAATCCCACAAGCAACAAACCCAAGTGCTAACAGAATCCAGAACTTGGGAATTAGCCCTGCAGAACGGGAAACTCGACGACATTCATTTGGAAGCCGCCATGGATTTGAAGCTCCACCTCGAGAATTGGCGAACGGCTTTCTCCACATTAATCACAACCCAAAACGACTGCATCAAATCCCTCAACGGCTGGCTCCTCCG